AGTTCTTTGCAAGTTAAGGACAGAGCCTGAGATCAGATCCCAAAGATCTGGCTCCAGAGGCTAAGCCTACAAAAGGAGCCTCAGCCGTAACACAGCCATTCTGCTCCAGGGCCCCTATGGGGGCTGTCAGAGCACATCGATGAATAAATATGACAGCCTTCTCTCAAGGAGCTCACAGGCTAGTGAGGAAGAGGAACCCTGCAACCGAGGAGAGGAAGGGAAGTAGACAATCACACTGGAAGGGAAGGCAGAAGGCCCTGAGGGAGAGACTCGAGTTTCTGAATGAATTCTACCTCTGGAAGTCTCTGCTTGTTCTGCTCACAAAGCCTGCAGACCCCCCTCCATCTGCACAGGTGGACTGCTTTGCTGTAATACATGATACTGTGATATGTGTTACTGTAAGACAAGTAAGACTGGTAACTGGGGGGAAGAGAACAACATAACATGAAAGTGTCTTTATTTCACACTGATTTTCCCCAGGATGTTAACGTTTTAGTATTGCACCGAGCAGCAGCAACTGAGTGGAAACGATACTAACACAGCTGAGTGTGTCTGACATAGAGGCACACGGTACTAGGGGTATGGTGAGATGCCCTTTCTCCCTCCTCCTCCTGCTTGGCTGTTCACCCACATGTCCTTTCCTGAAAGGGCATATTGCATGGCACCTCCCATCTTTGAGCATTTGCCCTCAGCTCCATAACTCAGCAGCCTCACCCCCATCCTGTGCCTTCATCAAGCTACCTCTGCCAGTTTTAAAGTAAGGTCTTATGTTTGCTGTAGTATGTATAGGTGTGTATATTTATTTACTTAGTCAAATTTTAACAGGTCTTTTAGCTTTATTATTTTTATTAGGATAAAAAGTTTTATCTTGGCATTGTGGTCAAAATATTGTATAGGTTTTCAATAATCTGCCTCAACCCTATTTTTGCAAAATGTCCCGTTTTTACTTTACTTTGTGTCTGCAGGACACAAAGTGTTTCAGGAACATACATGTCCCATTACAGCAGAATCACCTGTATCGGTTCACCAAAGGCTTTGCTGGTAGCTATTATGGTATTCCTTACACATGTTCCTTGAAGTAGGCATATGTGGCGATCACCACACTCATTTTCAGATGTGGGAACTGGACTCAGAGGTATAAAGTGACTTATCTGGAGGACATGAAATGGGACTTGAACCAGGTCTTCAACTCATTTACCCAGTCCATCTACCCAGTCTCCATTGTACCCACAGCACTTAGCAAGTTTCCTAGCACACCGCAAGCAATTTATCAATAAGTTATTCTGGGAAAAATTAATAGTGCCTCCATATCATTCATCTCTCTGACAACAGAGTTCATGAGCCTAATTTTGAAAAAAAAAAAAAAGGAAAGGAAGAAGTAACTAAGTGTTTTGAGTTCCTATTATGACATAGAATGACACTAGATGCTTTTGAACACACACACACACACACACACAGTGAGATAACCTTTGATCCATTTTATGGATGAGAAACTGAGCAATTTAAAGGAAACTGCCCCAAATCACACTACTGAGAAGAGAATGAGTTTAGATTTGATGCCAAAGCCCATACTATTCCATTATATAAGTGGGGAATGCCTGCTGCTTGTAGAATAAGAAACAACCTTAAATGGTACATGGACAAATCTATTTATTTTAAAGGTTGTGTATTTACTTTTACAGTTGTCTAAATGTTTATAGCAAGTCATATTGTTACCCATCTATAACAGTAATGTATCATCTCCTATAAAAATGTCTTTAAGTTTTAAAGATATGAATCTATTTAAAGAAAAATATTAAGTAAATTGATTTTAGGGATAGAGTGGACACTAAAAAATGGAAAAAAAATGACTAAAACTTGCAGAACATGACTCTTAATCCTAACAAATAAATTCCTTAATAAAACATTTTCTTTTTGTCAATAGATTCTCATGAGTTGTATCAGCAGATATTTTCTAAATTACCAAGAATAGAAAGGAAATTGAAGCAGGGGTGATTCCCTGGCCAGTGTTCAAGGAATTTAACATTCTACCCTCTATTTCCGCATCTGTGCCATCTAATGTTTCTTTGCAGGACTCAGACATAGCTGGTCTGAGCAGTACGTGGGTTCTCTTAAAACAGGGGAAGCAGGAGAAGAAGGAGACTTCATATATTTCTGTAAAGGGTAATGGAAGTGTCAGAGCCCAGTGACAATTCCCTAATCACCCATATGCTTGATATTTGTGTCACGCAGAGAAACAAAGTCAAAGGCCCTGGGCCCACTCCAGACACCTGGTTTCCATCCCATCTTTGGCCACTAGCTTACTGTATCACTCAGGAAAGCCACAGCAGGGGGTGGAGGCACACTAACCCCCTTGGATAAATGAAGGAATTTTGATTTCTATACCCATTCTCCAGTGACATGAGACACACCCAACCAAGAATGACTGTAATTGGCAAGAGTAGCTATCCATGGAACTTAGGAAGCACCTGCCTACCCCAGGCACCAAAGTCCTTCCAGGTCTGATAGTCTGTGATTCATGATTTAAGTTCCTTGGATTGCAGATGGCCACACAAGTAGCAGTGATGCATACAGAGAGACATTAAACAGTCTCTAGATTATGCTTAGAATGTCACACCACAGGCAGCATAAGCCAAGCTACTGTAAACTCCCACCTGCCCTACTAGGTACTCTGGTTAATTAAATGTCCATGTGAATATCACTGGGCTCATTATAATTGTAGATGTGGAGTTTGTATTTTTAAGAAATGCATAATGTGACTTTGGAATATATTAAACACAATTTAAACTACCCCTGGTACATGTTTTTGTTTCCTCACTTTATATTGTTAACAATGAATGCTTATTGCAGTAGAGTACTATAAAGAAAATAGTCATTTCCTCCTTCCACAACACCCATGACTCCCTGCTCACTGACATTGGACTTGGCCATGTGATGGGCTTCAGCTAATAAAATGTGGGCAAAAATGACAATGTACCAGTTTGAAGCCTAGTCCTCAAAAAGCCTCAAGTGTGACCATTTGACACAATCTTTGCCAGGAGAATAACATATCCCTGGTAGAGTTTGCTTCTGTAGGATGGGTTCTACAGTGAGATGCATGGAGCAGACCTGAATTTAACCCTCAGCCCTATTCCTCCAGGAAAAGCCATCATCACTGCTTAGAACACTGCAGGGGAGGAAGAGCAATGGAGAGGGAAGAAGACTGAAGGGGGCCCTTGGAAGGCTATGCCACCTCACCTGGCCTGCAGACTGATAAACAGGAAATGTTAGGCATTTACCTAACATTGTATAACACAGATTTTGTGGTGTTTTCTTTCACAACAAAAGCTGATTAATTCATCTTTTGTGATGAGCAAAAATGTACAAAAATCATATATTTTTAATAGTGAATAAAATCTTTCTAACACACCCACAAGTAAGGTAGCTGATAATGACCATTTGATATATAACTTTCTACTCCTCTCTCTGGGTTTCGTAAGGACTAAATGATCAAATGTATATAATAAGCACTTAGCACAGTAATGGGCATATGCAATAAGCACTCATTAAACATTAGCTTTTTTTTGCCCTGGCCGGTGTTGCTCAGTTGGTTGGGCATCATCCTGTGCACCAAAAGGTTGCTGGTTCGATTACTGGTCAGGGCATAGGCCTGGGTTATGGGCTCAATCCCCAGTAGAGGGTGTGCAGGAGGCACCAATCAATGTTTATCTCTTTCCCCCCCTCCCTCTCCCTTTCTCTTTCTCTAAAAATAAATAAAAAATATTTTAAATAAACATTAGCTATTTTTATTAATATTCTCATGCAAACAAATATACTCTATACTCATAGGTTTTTATTTTATTTTTTAAAATATATCTTTATTGATTTCAGAGAGGAAGGGAGAGGGCAAGAGAGATAGAAACATCAATGATGAGAGAGAATCACTGATAGGCTGCCTCCTGCACACCCCCTACTGGGGATTGAACCCAAAACCCAGGCATGTGCCCTTGACCGGAATCAAACCCGAGACCCTTCAGTCTGCAGGCCAATGCTCTATCCACTGAGCCAAACCAGCAAGGGCAAGGTTTTTAAATTTATGCAAAAATAAAACCATGCTACAGACATTACAACTCGCTTTCTTCATATAACACTGTATCATGGGCATTTCTCTATCTTTTTAAATGGCTACATGATATTCCATGGTTTGAATATACCATAATGTATTTTATCTATTTCCATTTTGTAGATAAAGAAACTGAGACGCAGAATGTTGAGGTGTTTGGCAAAAGTTTGGCTGCCCTGTGACATACTTGGGCAATCAAAGGTAAGTGGAAGTGACTTTTGGGCAAAGCTTTAAGAGCTGTCCCTGGTGTTGCCTCCCTCTTCCCTGTGATACACACCAGCAATATCTCAGATGCGAGTTGCTCCTTCAGCCTGAGTCTCAGAGTAAAGAGTTAGGCCTGAATCAGGATGAAAACGTGACATGCACATGAAATAAATTCATGTTATTTTAAGCTTCTGAAATCTGAGGGGCAGTTTATTGCCATAACATAATGTAGAGAATGCTGATGCGGAGTTTCAAGGCTTTCAAGTGTTTGATGTCCACTGCAAATATTCATCCTCACTAGTTCGGCCAAGCACCGACATGCTAGTCAATCAAGATGTGGGTTGACAAAATAATGGGGAATAATCTCCTTCCTGAACTACATTTTTCAAAATTATCAGTAGCTCTCTACCCCAATGCAAAATCACTAAGCAAAGGACATGACGGCATCCACAAAAAGAGAACTCTAGTGACATGGTCCAGTAGGTTAAGGACTATCCTTTGTATGTGGGAAGCCTCTAGGTAAGTCAGGATCATGACAACATTGACCCAATTTTTTTTCCAGGTTGAAAACTCCATCACATGAACACTCAACAGATCACTAAAGTCACTAGTTCCAAGAAAACCATCATCACTGCTTAGAAAACCGCAAGGAAGGCAGGCGCCTTGGGGAGAAAGTAGACTGAATGGGACTTACCAACTCTGAACCTCAGTTTACTCAGAAGACTGCTGTGAGGATCCTCTGAAAGATAACAGGTGCAGGCACAACTAATAAGAAAAAAACATTTATATTTTGATTTTTTAAGTGAAACACACATTTATTTTAGACAGTTCTAGTACAAACAGAAACATAGGGAGGAAATTGGAAACCACTCAAATATCACAATATTGACATCTTGATGGTTAATTGGCCATATTTCCTCCTAGGTAAATGCATATACATATTATAATACAAGGCCTTCTGTATGCATTTATTAAGTATGTGCATATATATTTTACAAGATCCTTCTCTCATGCTCATCTTCTCCATTGTTCATATCCAGCTAAACTTCTGGTCCCTCCAAACATTCACCATAGTCTGGCCCCATAGTCAGGCCTTTGTACATGCAGTCCTTCTTTCTAGAACCCTCTTTCTCCACTGTATCCTCTTCTTCTGGCTACTCCTCCTTAGAGGATAATTCTCTGACCTCTATGTTGTCAGATGTTCCTTCTCTGTGTACCCAGAACATCCTGACCTTCCTTCTCATAGTATTATCATACTTGACTCATCTTGCCTCTTTATTATGTATTTTCCTGTTATACCCCAATTTTGGGGTGGGTACTGTACCTTTTGCCCACCAATGTTTACCAGGGACTGGCCCTTAGTAGATGCTAAAAATTGTTGAGTAAATGAATAACATATTTAACAATATATGCTACTTATATGTCTTCAGAAATCCCCAAAGCACCTGGCACTTCTCAATAAATATCAACTGAAAGATTGAATATAGAAGAGGATGTAAGACATGGCAACATGTCCCATGAAGTTTATGAATTTTAAATAGAAAACATTACCAACAGGAAGCATGGGTGTGTGATTAAGTGCTATGTCCTTTACCCCTGCCCCCTCCACTAATTCTTTCAAACAGAAAAGGGAAGAACAAAACTCCCTAACTTCAATTCCACACCTCTTCTCTCTTTGAGGGCATCCTGCAGCACCAGCTGTAATAAGAAGACATTAGCAGCCGAACTGGTTTGGCTCAGTGGATAGAGCGTCGGACTGTGGACTCAAGGGTCCCGGGTTCTATTCCAGTCAAGGGCATGTACCTTGGTCGCGGGCGCATCCCCACTGGGGGGCGTGCAGGAGGCAGCTGATCGATGTTTCTCTCTCATTGATGTTTCTAGCTCTCTATCCCTCTCCCTTCTTCTCTGTAAAAAATCAATAAAATATATTTTTTTTAAAAAAAAGACACTAGCAGCTCTAACATATATACTCCAAAATCTCAGTGGTTCAACACAGTGTAGTTTATTTCTCATTCAGGCAAAGTCCAATGAGAGTATTCTGGGTCAGTGGGCAATCTTCCACATGGTCATTCAGAGATCCAGTCTTTCTATTTGTGGCCCTACCCTTCTCTATGACCCTTACTTTTAACCAGGAGATGGAGAAAGATGGTTTTATGAGCCAGGCCTGTACACAGTACACATTACATTCACCCCCTTTGCTTTGGCTAAAACTCAGCCAAGTGGTCACACCTATTAATAAAGGAGGCCAAAAAAAATGTAGTTTAGCTGTAGGCACAGGAGGAAAAGGGAAAGGAGTTTGGTGAACACTTCATAGTTCTTCTACAACTAATGGAAAGCAAGTATCCAGTTTTAAGTGATCCCAAGTACAGGTAATTGTGATTTATGGATACTGTTTTGGTAGAGAATGTCCATTTAACTCATATTGGACTTGAGAAAATATCATCACAAGTTTTTAAATTTTGAGAGTAAACAAAGGGGTCAATTCCAGAATTGAGAAACCAATGTTGATGACCACTCCCACGCAAATTCTAAAAGAGAACATTTAAAGATGGCTTTTGTATAAACTTTGAAAATAAAGTGGTGATTATTACAAGTTACTATGGGCTCACTAGGAATCACCATAACTAACCAAACATAGTGTCCAGCACATTACAGACAATAAATATGTATTGAGTGATGAGCTTCAATTCTACTCTTAAGGCAACTATCCCATTGGTTAAAAAAACCCTGTAATTTCAGAAAATTCCTCCATAAATATAGCAGTTTTTCCTTCTAACTTTTAACCATTACCCTCACTCTGACCTCAAAGCCTACAGAATAGCCCAGCCCTCGCAGCTGTGGTTGAGTATTAACCTATGAACCAAGAGGTCACAGTTCAATTCCCAGTCGGGACACATGCCCAGGTTGTGGGCTAGATCCCCAATTTGGGGTGTGCAGGAGGCAGCCAATCAATGATTCTCTCTCATCATTGATGTTTCTATTTCTCTCCCCATCCCCCTTCCTCTCTAAAATCAATAAAAATATTTTTTTAAAAACACAAACCTACAGAATAAGTCAACTCCTCCAAGTGACAGTTGCACAACTACTTGGAGATTTCTACATACATTCCCACAGTCTTTTATTTTCCCCTCTGGGTAAATACTTTCAGTTCCTTCATTTCTTCTCCATGGAGCATAGTTTCAGGCTTCTCACCACTTGGCCTATCTTCTCTGAGATCTCCCAGATTGGTCAAAATTGCTTTCTAGTTTCATGTCCACAGCATTCCCAACACAGTCCAATCAGCACTGAAATTGTCCCTCCGCAGCTCTGAGTGTCACCAGAAGTATTTAAGTAAAGAAGAAGCTGCCAAAATAATTCCTGCACTAGGGGAAGGGCAGGACTAGGAAGATGACTTCTAAGGACTTTGCCCCTTTATGATCCTACATAAGTTTTGTGGGAGTTCTTACTGCTGAAAAGACATCACCATAAGGGTGATGATGTGTACAAGAATTCCACATTCCTCCTTAACAACCTCTGCAACAACTCAATGTACTTACTTACTTGTATTTCAGTTTTCATTTCTGACTCTTTACTCCAACTGTGATGTGGATGCATGTATCCAAGTTGACAACCTGGAAAAATAAAGGCGGGGGGCGGGGGTGGTAAGGAAGAGAATGAGACACTCCAAAATTGGGAACCAGTCTCAAGCAAATGAGAACTAACTTTGTTGAGAGTTAATCCAAGAGAAGGACTTCCATAGGGCTCTGATGTACAAGGAAGATTTACTGAACACCCTCTATGTGCCAAGCATTGGGCTAAATGCTGTGGATATAGTGAAGACAACAAGCTACCCTCTTGATGCTTTGCTTCTGGTGGACAAGACTGATCTTAAACAAAAACAAGCAAACAAACAAAAAAACTCAACAATAACACGAAGAGATATGGAATAACAAATTAAGATAAATTCTGTTTTGATGAGGAAATCTTCATTTCCCAGGCTTTGGGTTTTCATGAAGTGACATTTGTTAACTTTCTCCATCCCTTATTTATCCCCCATGGGGAGAGGAGTGGGTTATCTGGTCTCTGAGTTCAGAAGACCCAGCATGCCCATCTCAGCCACTTTCTCTTTTCAGAATCAATTTGTCTGCAGGATGTATACACTCACTGTCCATTTGGAAGAGGCTGGCAACTGCCCACCTTTGCCAGGGACTGGTGGGTAAGTTCAGTTCAGGGTGAAGCATTAGGCAATCCATGATGGCCTCATGTCTGCCAAGCCCTCCAATCCTATATCAGCTATCAAGCTGACATTGCGATCTCCATTCATCTGCTTCCCATATCCAAATTTCAGCTGGTTCTGAACTCAAGAGGGGGACAGGGAGAGTTATTATTTTATCATCCTCCTGAAATCCCAATGCTATTTTAAAAAAAAAACATAGGGATTTATGAGGAAGTATAAGAGGGAAATATAATTCAGATGGGGGAGGATGTGGTATGAAAAAATAAAGTCTCTTTAAGTGACATTTAAGCTAACATCCAAAAGAAACAGAAATTGGCCAAGGAACAGGGAAGAAGTAGGAGGGCTCCCATAAAGGTTCTTAGGCAAGAAACAGTTTGTCTTGTTTGAGGAACCAAAGAAGTCCAATGTGGGAGTCATGTGGTCACCAAATACCTCCAGCTCTCTGCCTTCCAGGCAAATAGGATTGCACTTCCTGGTCTCCTTGTGCCTGGGTGGGGCCATGAAACTACTTTTAGGCAGTGTATCCCGAGAAGCCACACGTGACATTCTCTGGCAAAGGTACTTAAATGTGCGTGCCTAAGACCCTTCAAAACATTCTTTCCCTCTGCCTTGATCAATATCTGTAATGTTCTTGATAAAGGGTGATACAATAGGCTGTGTCCCAGAGGAAGACAATGTAATCAGAATCCCTGCCAATCCCTGATAGACATGGAGTAGGAGCAAGAAATAAAATGTTTCTGTCTTGAGTACTGAAATTTGGAATTGTTTTTTACTGTAGCATAACCTAATCTGCCCTGACTGGTACAGCCACAGCCAGTGTGGCTGCACAACAGTAAGTGAGGGGAGAAGTACTAGCTATTTCATTCAGGCTGGTGAGGAAGGATAGCCCAGATCATGTGAGATCTTATAGGCAAGGTAAAGAATTTGGGCTTTATCCCAAATCCAACACGATGTGCTCAAGAAGGTTTCAGTGAGTTTGAAATGTTCCAACCTTTATGTATTAAAACAAGGTACTGTTATTTGACCTATTAAATCACCCACTTAATTCCATTATAGAAATAGCTGTTTTAAAAAAAAAACATCAACAAGCATTTATTGAACACCTTCTATCCTTCCATGTGCCAGGCACTGCATTAAGCACAGGTGGTACAAAAATGAATAAGACAGTTCCTGGATCTGGAGTCAGGAATATTAGAAAACATTTATAACACATGATAAACATTCTCTGCTTCAGGTATGTGTCCAGTGTGGTGAGAGCCAAAGAATATAATAACCATTTGAGGGAAGGGTAGTCAAGGGTAATAGAAAGCATCAGAGGGAGCTTATTTGAGCTGGGTCTTGAAGGGTGAGTAGGAGTTTGCCAGGTAGCATTTTCATTCTGGATATAAGTAAATGGAAAGACAGGAAAATGTCAAAGGACTGGAAAATGTTTAGGATAGCTGAGACTCATAGGAATGGGGGGAATGTGTAGTTGAAGGGTGTGGTAGACTATATTGCTATTTGCAAATACTTGCTGCCCCTCCCCACTGACATCAGGCTTGGCCATGTGCACTGCTCTTACCATGCTCTTTAAACACCATGCTCTTTCCTCTCTGCCATAACAATCAGCAGTATTCCAGAAAGGGCGCAAGAGCAAGGATGATGTGTGGGAAGCAGAGACACAGCCAACCCATAATGGGTGTGTAGTGTGAATGAGAAATAATTCCGTGGTTGTCATCCAGTACAATTTTTGGATTGCTACCTTTTTGTAATCTCGACTATACAGAAGCAAGAGTGTCCAGCTCTTGACTTCCAGCCACTCTCCTGAACCCTGTAAGACATGGTCACATGACTAGTTTTTGACCAATAACGTATAAACATAAGTAACGTGTCTTATTTCTGGGAGGAAGCTTTTAAAGCCAATGTGAATTCGCCATGCTTTCTTTCCCCCATTGAAATGGTTTGGATGTTATGGAAGCATATGTCTAGATGAAACCTTCTTCAGACTTGGTTTCTGAGTGAGTACACTGTGCAGAGTCCCTTTGACTTTGAACATGTAGTATGAGCAAGAAATAAAGTTTATGGTTTGTTTTTGTTAAGCCACTAAAATTTTAGGATTGTTTGTTATTGTGGCAAATCTGGCCTATCCTGACTGATATAAAAACTGGCACCTAGCTGTAATTAGTTTGGCTCAAGGGATAGAGCGTCGGCCTGCGGACTGAAAGGTCCCAAGTTTGATTCCGGTCAAGGGCATGTACCTTGGTTGCGGGCACATCCCCAGTAGGAGGTGTGCAGGAGGCGGCTGATCGATATTTCTCTCTCACCGATGTTTCTAACTCTCTATCTCTCTCCCTTCCTCTCTGTAAAAAATCAATAAAATATATTTTTTAAAAACTGGCACCTAGACATGGGGCAATGTGATAACAATAAAATTAAACATTTGTTTAGAGGACAGTAATTAAGAACACTGTTAACAGAAGCTAAAAGGATAGTGATCTATTTGATGAATATATCACCTGTGAGAATTAGAAGGCATATCATTAATCTAATGAATTCAGAATAAGAGACCATAAAACGAAATGTTAGTAGCATGTGCTGGTTGCTGTTGGATGCATTTGGAAACTTATTATAAAAAAAAGGAAAGAAATGATCTCAGAAAAGAATTGGCCAGTTTGCAAGCAGGAATGAAAGACAGTAGAGACCATCTAGAAATTCAGAGATTTGTAGGGTTACAAGAGGTTACTATTTCTCAATCTCAACTAGTAAAATATACAATTAAGAAGTGTTTTCAACAAGAAAAGGCTGGGTAAAATCGACCTTGAAGTATGGGTCAAGTCAAGAATATAGCCTTCACCCTATTGTTAAAATCTCTGGATAAATTGTGTTACCCAGCATATGCTTTCAATTGAACAAAATGGCTCTGGAAAAGGGAGGAAAAGTGTGAGTCTCACACCAAAGGTCAATAAGTCCAAAGCACTCAAAACCAAGTTAGGGGGTAGGAGGGCAGGAGAATGAATGAGAGACAGAGAGATCAGCAGGCATGAGATCAAGAAAGCAAAGCAATATGGCAGACCATAGGACTATGTCTACAAAAAAGTTGGCCAGGCTATTAGGAAGTGAAAGGCTGGAATCAAATCGATAAGAAGCCTACATTTATGTGAGAGTTCTACTGCCAAAAGCACATCAGCCTGGATTAAAGGACACTATATTGGAGACTTAATATCACTCTGTATATCACCCCAATGTTTAAAACAGTGGTTCTCAACCTCTGGCCCTTTAAATACAGTTCCTCATGTTGTGACCCAACCATAAAATTATTTTCGTTGCTACTTCATAACTGTAATGTTGCTACTGTTATGAATCGTAATGTAAATATCTGATATGCAGGATGGTCTTAGGCGATCCCTGTGAAAGGGTCATTTGACCGCCAAAGGGGTCGAGACCCACAGGTTGAGAACCGCTGGTTTAAAAGCTTATTTTAAAACATGTTTTCCTATTCCTGCTCTAGATATAGAAGAGAAATTATCTCTCCTAGGCAAAGCCAGGGGTCATAGATGGGGCAGCTCCACTGGGGGAGCAGAATCAGGGTCTAACCAGGGTGCTTGCTGGGGGGTTCTCAACATGTCTGCTCAGTGGACTAGTGTCTACCTGTGGTCTCCTATTTCTTCTCTTCCCAAATGGGTGTCCGTTCAGTTATCCTGTCTCTGTCCCACTGTTCTATACTGAGGGAGTGCAGGGTAGACAAAGTCACATCTGGAGCTGATACAGGGTTTCATACGCATCCGCCAGAATCTGGAAAGTGAGCTTGGCATTCTGTGACTAAATGGGTTTTTAGTGTTGTCCCCTTTGAGGAAAGAAGGCGGGAATGCTGCCTGCGGGAGGACACTAAGCCAAACACTTGGTGAACAGAAAGCGATGCTGTTAGAATCATTAGTATTGTTCCACAAATCTTCCTGGCTCTTTCCTTTCAAGACACCTGGCAGGATTACAGAGATTCAAAGACAGGCATGGTGACATGACTTGCTTTCGCCAATGATACACGAGCAGAGTGCAGTGTGTCACTTCCAGATGGATATTCTGAGAGCCAGTGAATAATTTCCCATCTCCTCTCCACCACCGCACCCCCACCCCCACACCAGCCAAAACAGTAATACACATACTTTAAGATGAAACCTTCTTCTTCAACTGGAATCCTCAAATGACCACAGCAACAGTACTCCCCGCAGGCCCACAGTGGACACATAACATCAGTAAGAAATGAACTTCCCGGGGGTAAGCCACTGAGATGTTGGGGTTGTTTGTTAACGGAGCATAGCTCAGCCTTTCCTGACTGATAAAGGGAGTGAGAGAGGAGGCCTGAGAGCAGGAGCTAGGCTGTGAACGGCCCCTTCTCCTAGGCAAAGGTGTCCAAAATCTCTCCTGGTGGGAAGGAGAAGCCAATGAAGGCTTCCAAGCAGGGGCATTAACATAGACAGATCTGCTATTTTTTGGATGAAATATGCTATTTCTCAACATAGGGAGAAAACCAGCCTACTAAACCACATAAGGCAGAGAGGAACACACAGAACCCTTAGGCAAAAGATATATATTTACACAAAGTCCTAAGTCTTGAATTTTCTAAACACAGGAGCTCTGAAAGGAGTTACAGAAGACAAGACAAGGCAAATGTCTTCTCTCCCACCATCTAAGCCAGTGGTTCGCAACCTTCTGGCCCTTTAAATACAGTTCCTCATGTTGTGACCCAACCATAAAATTATTTTTGTTGCTACTTCATAACTGCAATGTTGCTACTGTTATGAATCGTAATGTAAATATCTGATATACAGGATGGTCTTAGGCGACCCCTGTGAAAGGGTCGGTCGACCGCCAAAGGGGTCGCAACCCACAGGTTGAGAACTGCTGATAAGCTCTATTTCCTCTGCAATGTTGTAAGAAAGTCTCCCAGAGCAGAGAAGATACAGGGACTGTAACACAAACCTGAGGCCAATTTCCAGCCACCTGTGTGGACAGAGCAAGCTATTTAACCTCTCTGGGCCTAGCTCCCCACATGTTAAATCCACCCAATAACATGCACAGCTCTGTGACTGTGGGAGAAACCACCTATTTAAACTGCTCAGGCAAATGCCTGGCTGATAGATTTTTAATACATGAAATTTGTTTTTATGACTCTCCTCATAAACATTATGAAGAATACCAGCTCCCCTGATTACTAAAGAAAATGACTCAGGGCAACAGTATCGAGAATGTCCTCTCCTTGAGGAAAGTAACTGATCTTGTCGTCATTACTGTATCCGTACCCCCCACCGCGCACCCAGCATAGTACCTGGCTCATAGTAGCCACTCAGTTTTCCTCTGCTGCATGAGAGAATGAGAGGTGAGTGCCTGGAGTGAAGAAAAGTCAAGATTTCCCTTCCCCCGGCTGCTTGTTGGGCTGTTAAGTCTGACCTCTCAAAGCCACAAAACCCTTAAAGCTCTGGGCTCTGAACCCAAGGCTGAATTCCCCCAAGTTCTGAAAAGCCAGAAATAAAACCCAGAAGCATAAACTGCTGCAGGTCCAACTGCAAGTCCCAGTATTAGGCCTTCTGCCTGGGAAAGAGCTGACTTCTGACCCTTTCCTCCCTCCCCCTTCCTCCCCCTCACTGCTCCTCACAGGCGTATGTACACCTGTTCCTGCCAAGTCACACTCAGATGCTGGCATTCCACGGAGGCTCTGGGAAACTCCGGGAAGGGGCCCGTTTGGCAACCACCTCCCGGCCCTGAAGGTGATGATGCTACAGGAGCTCAGCCCACTGAGGTGGCTCTCCGGGGTCCCTCTTGCCGGGAAAGGAACTGCAGCTCAGAGAAGCTCGCTTCACCCCGTGGCAGGGCTGGCCACGACAGAATCCACGATTCCCGACTTCAGTATTCTTTCCACCAGACACTTTGTCCCCTAAGGGGCGCGGGATCCAGGAGGATAAAAGCGCCACCGCAGAAAAGGAGCCACTTATATGTGTCTAGCGCTTCCTACAGGCTACGCCAGATACGGGCCCGGCACCGGCCCGGAGCAGAGTCCTTGCTGCGTGACTTTCGGCCAGTGTCTCGGACTTATTTTCCGGGAAGCAACTCTAGGCGGGAGCTCAGCGTGTGCGTGCGTGTGTGTGTGTGTGTGTGTGTGTGTGTATGTGTGTGTGTGCGCGCGCGCGCGCGGTCGTTCCAGCGATGTGGGGTGTGCGTGTTCTTGTTATGCGAGGGCAGGGGGTAGACTATCACCGGGGTTCTCCAA